CTGCTTTAATACAATGAACCCGGCGACGCCAGCCCGTGTTTACACTATAAAGTTTTAGTAGCTTGAACACGATCGGATTTTGAAACGCTAAAAAAGGGTATTGTTAGTTGTAGTTATGAATTAACTATGGTTATAATAATTGTATAACTAGATTCAATAGCGACGATGTAAAACATTCTTCTTTAAAATGTGCCGAGAACAACGATATGTTTTTCTTTTTCGGAGCTTAAAGTCCGCTTTGTGTAAACGGACGAGCTTTGTCCATTTTTCACGTAATCCTGGGTCGCTTGGAAATGGAAACATTGATATATCTGCAGTATAACTCTTATTTTTGCAGCTAATGTTGTTTCTATATCCTGCCACGCAATATCTGCCTTTGTATCTACGATTTTTGAGAGTAGAACTGCTCGCTTCGGCCGCCATCTTTGCATCTAACAGATCGCGAACCAACAAAATGACGTCATATGACGCGTTTGGCCGAGCGGAAAAAGAGGACAAATTTTGGGTGAAAAAATCACAACTTTCAACGCTCATAACTTTGCGGCTTTTTATCAGATTTTTTTAAAACCCGAGATTTGRGGTTTTTGAATAGCGTTCTTTCAATGGACAAAAAACTGTTTTCATGTCATATGCTCTTTAACTATTCCAAAAGAGGTTGTAAGAGGGAGGGGGAAAGATGGGGGGAGGGGGGGAGTTGTACTAAGGGTGAATACAGCTAGCCAACGGAATAAATGGTTGATTACTTCCATGAAAAATCTATGCAGTGGCTAACTTTATCCAGCAGACAATTTACCCATTATAAATCGATGACAAATATTTTTTTTCCTTCAATTTCCATTGAGTAAAATTGATTAATGCCAAATAATTAGATGATTAAAATAATGCGTTTTATGATTTCCTGTTCTTGATCACATTCGGACTTTCCATACCATGTTCAGTGACCACGAACAAAGCATTGAACCAAGGCGTCAAGGAACACTCTGATCACAGATCATTTCTTATGTTCACTGTACCTTGATTCCTCGGTTCAATGCTTTGTTCGTGGTCACTGAGCCTGCGTATGCAAAGTCGTGAATTTACTTTTTTAGAGTGATTGTACTCCCAAGCCGTTCTGGTTATCTCTCAATTTTTACTTTGCCATTTCCGGCTGGGGTTGCTTTGCTGTTGCTGTCGGGATGTACATTAGCTTTAAATGCAAGTAAGTTCCATGTATATTATCAATATTATCATTATGTAGAAGTGTACAAGCCGATGTTGTGAGCAGAGAGGGGGAAAAGCACTTACACCTACTTGCAGAAACRTTGCCATAGAAAATAGAACATTGGAATTTAGTAAAAAGGAATAAATTAAAACGACAAAAGAAATCGTTCAGCCTCAGTGCATGATCTTCTTTTGTCTTTTTAATTTATTCCTTTTACTAAATACAAATGTCCTATTTTTATGACAACTTTCCGGCAAGAAGGTGTACATCTCCAGAGTTAGATAGCCCAACCTCGTAATTGCTTTATTATTTATTCCAAAAATGMAACAATAAAAATACATTGATGTAGGTGTGGTTTGATTGTCCGGGTGTGAGAATTCTTGACTAAGACAGCTGTAGTTACCTGACCTTTCAAAATGCAGAGTGGATATCATATTCAGAGAGTATATGAAGACGAAGATGACTTCGACGCAGGATGTCGAAACGTCAGGCAACTATAATTAAAGTCTCCCTCAAGAGGTCTCACATCCACACGTTCATATCGAACCTACATTGCTTACACCTGTGATTAGACCATTTACTTGAAAAAATACATTTGTTTTAGACGAACGGTGTTTTTGCAAGAAAACCTTTCRTGTGCTCCCTTTCGAGATATGAAAACACGTCGTTTACACAAAGCTAATAAGAAATGTTTCAATGTTTCATAACAGATGCGGGCAGAAATACAGAGAATTTAGGAATTGGCAAGCAAGACGACGTGGGTCAGACGAAGTTGAATCTACAGATAACGCCAAACCAGCTTCCAATCCAAAGAAACAAAGCCGTCGGACCGAAGACAGTCTAGAGATAATTTCTGAAAGTGATTATGGAGGTATAGTTTCCTTACGATTAACATTACAATTGTAGATTTTATAATAGACAAATATCCAYAATTCCATTTATGTCTTTTCAGACAGACGGCATGTGTCATATACACCAAAGGAATTCCTGGGAATGTCCCACCATGACTTAAAACAAGACAGACATGTTGCAGAGAGAAAAAAGATAATTAAGAAGGTGAAGTTTTATTTGCTACTTTAATCATAATCATGATATTTTTTTCTTTGTTGCTGTTGTTGTTATTTAATAGTAATCACTGATSGAGACACGCAGTCTCGTGGTATGCAGGAATGCAGCATTTAAAGCATTACGTGCTACGGACTTTTTTAGATTTAATTGTGCTATTTCAAAGTTACCTGCGCATTCTGGAATTAGGATGTATCTCACAACAATCCTTTGTATCTTTTTGTAATTTCTTTATTTGTCAATTTTAAATGGTTGTTTAAGTCTCTTGTTCAAGCAGACCTCGGGAATGCATATCCAACTGCAGGACAAAACAATGGATTCTAGTTTCCAAGAAGGCAAAATTATTTTGTTTTGTCCTCCTGATGAAGCTGCTTTGACGTCACATGCAAGGGATCTATTGCCATATATGGTCTTAAAGATCTTGCTTACGCATTCTGTAATGCATGCATGCTCTTTTTGTGYATAGGAAGCCTTTTTCTATATTTAAAATGACGACTAATTTACTATCTCAATAGGTTACTCTAGAACCCAACAAAAACGATCTTCATAGTGGGATACAGTACGCCAAATCTGTAGTTATTGGKGCTGGCGAYAGGGASARGGATGAGAGAAAATCGGCCGAAAAACGTTCAATAATCAAAGGCCATGATGTTATGAATCGAAGATATTCGCTTGTTGACGAGCTRCAATATGCAAGGTCAATTATCATGGACTCAGATCAAGATCGACAGCATAACAGAAAAGCAAAAGAGAATCGAAAGGTAATTATGGCAGGAGCCCATTACYARGAGCGTCCATGATGTATATTGGGTTTGATCACATCGTTTTYATAGACGTGCCTATTTTTAAGCTTCTTTTTGAGCAATGATATTCAATCACTTCCGACGAAAATCCGTGGGAAACCAGAAGAAATATGGCTCATGATCCCATACACTCTCTAAGCAATGCATGCTGCAGCAAAAGAGACCTGATTTCTACTTTAGGCATCGCTACGTTCAAAATAATTCAAGGGAACACTATTTTGCATAAGTAACTTTTCCAGAAGCCTTTCTATCTTTTAAAAACGTTAAATGAAATAGGATGGCTAAAAAAACCTGCAATAGGCAATTCTATAGATGGCCAGGTAGTGTACTTCAAGATAAGCTTTTATGTACTGTTAAGTCACCTAACAATTTTTGTCTTAGCTAATCAGACGCAAGTCCATGGATCACACAGGTGGCCTCAATGAGGATCTGTTGCAGTATGCTGCTCATGTTCTTGTACATGACAAACATGAAAAACAACATGATCACCAGGCCTCTGAGAAAAGACGAGTCATCAAAGAAGCGATGGCTAACGAGAGAAGGGGGTCACTACTTGATGACGTACGTACATTACGGCTGAAGGTTGCTGTCTAAATTATCTTGCAGTCTCTTTTAGTCTTCTTCACGGTTCCCAGCGCCATCTTGAAAGGTAGCCGTGACTTTGTATAGAAGCGAGACGACTGTTGAGCGTGCAATGATAGAAACCTTTCACACCTATAGACAATTATTCGCAGGTTTCTATCATTACACGCTCAACGGTCGTCTCGCTTTGATGCAAAGGCTCGGCTACCTTAAGATGGCGCACGTAACCGTGAAGGAGACTATTTCTTGGATGATCGCAGAAGAATGAATTTCGTGTCTATAAAGACCAACCTCGAACTAAAACCATTGTTTCGTGTTCATCCAGGSGAAGCTAATCGAGAAAAGTCTATTACCTAATGTTTTGTCCTACTTAGAAAAATAGGAAAATACTAAAAGACGTGGCAAATTCACTTACATGTGTTTATTTTCTGTATCAAACTTCACCGCAGTATTGTCCGTTTGAACCGTTAAATAAAAAAAAAGTATAAAAGTGCCTGTATGGAAATAGAAAAAAAACCCTGAAAGTTTAAATTTCATGGGTTAATGTTTGAGATATCGAACCAACATCAGCAAGATAAAATTGTTTGATTGAATATGCAGAAACACATTGACTTGTTAAGAAACACGCCYGTCTCTGCCCACACAAGCATATATTTTTTTAAATGTACTTCAGTCAGTATACATTCATTTTCTTACTCTAATCAGCTTCAGTTTGCCAAATCCGTAATTAACCCTGATAGTCGCGTGAGATACCTTGACAGAGAAGCCCTAGAACGACGTCAGAAAATCAAATCTACCCATGAATCAACGCATCGTCGAATGTCTCTCAAAGACGATCTTCTTATCGCCCAGGCCATTATCACACCCACAAGGGTAGACGAAGGTACGATTACCGATTGTTTTAGTAGTTGTTGTTAGTTTTGATTCAATCTCTGCCTTGATGTGTCACTATGCACTCTCCCATCCTTTAATCCACTAATTTTTATTTCATTCATTTTTTTTTTCATCATTCAACAATCCATTTATCTGTTATGTGAAAAAATTAATCTAAACCGTAAAAAAGTAGGTGAAACAACTTTCTGACGTTTCGGACCTTAGTCCGACGTTAATCTTTACTCCGACGAAGGATTAACATCCGAAACGTCAGTAAGTTGTTTCACCAACTTTTTTCGCACAAYTGTTTCTTGAGAAGCACCGACGCAGCTCACACTACTTTACCGCTACTGAGTTTCCACCATCCATTTATCTAACTCATAATTCATTCGATTTATGAGTTTCTTTGTCCATCGGCTGTATCAAAGGATGAATAAAGTTATCCACTCCATAGATTTTTTATTGATTTTATCCGCTGTATTAGAATTCATCCGCTGGACTGCACTATAACACCCTTCGTACAATCGGCCCAAGTCCATCAGTTCCATCATCCATTCTACCATTTGTCTCACTGAGTYAGCCTGTCTTCCAGACATTTATTCATCTCATCCATTTATCTATTCCCACCATCATATATTTATTTATAACAATAGATGTCGTTGACAAATCTTCACAAGTTTATTTATTCTATTGTCAGAAAATCTCAAGGCAAGAGCAGATGCAAAGATCACCGTGGATCCTTACGATGATTGGTGAGCAGATTAMTCATCCCTTCATCCATAAAGTGCAAACAGTAGCGTGTAGTAGAACATCCCCCGGGTGGGGGACTCCGCGGTAAAAGTATAGGGGATGCGCGTTGGAGATTTTCAAAAAGACCCCCCCTAAAAGATCCCGAAAATCTTGAAAAAAGGGCGTGGTTGACTGATTTGTAATTAACCTCTAAGAGATTGCACAGCAAATATTGTTGCAGAATTAAATAACAAAACAAAACGCAGAGGAAAATAGATATCGATGCGCTCTTTCTTTTCTTTTCTGACACCCTCGTAGTCCACTCGAACCCGTGGTCGAATTGTTGAGCATTACAAAAATATATATTTTATATACAGTTGCTGTATTTGTTTTACGTACAACTTTTTCAAGAATCCGCATATAATTACTTTATTCTTCTGAATTCAATGATTATTAACGCCATTGAAACATTATAGACATGCTACCAAAATGGCCGCCAAAGATATTGAGTTGAAATTATCACTTATCGCCGTCCCATTTGTATTCAAAAGGCTTATGTAATTTACATCTGTTTTCAAATGTTTTCTTTAATCACCAGTTTCTTGTTTTGACAGGGTCTAATTTGCTGTAAATGTTATTCCTTTACTTTGGGAATTTATCAACAAATCTGCTTTTTCAATCCGCTAAAGCAGTTTATCATCTAGTTAAAGAAGATTGCTGATGTAACTGAGCCGAACTTATAATGAACATACAAATTGTATCAACACCCGAAGGAATTTCCAAGCAACGCGTGCATGTTTGTGACACCCGGACACTGGAGTCATGATTTGACTGGCTGAAACAAGGAAAGACAATTTTGTGCCTTCTTTTCACACAGTAACTATGTAATTATTTTGCTATGAAGCCAGCTTCAATCCATTTCTTCAAAACACAACATTTTATGTTACTTGATCCATAATTTCCGCTATGTATGTAACTCGACATAATCATTTTATAAAATTTAAAAACTAAATCACTCCATCACATGTAATTTGAAGCTATATTGTAACATCTTTCATTTATAAAACCTGTAACCTACTAATATTTGATCTCTTAATTACATAATTTTCTAAGAAAATTACAGATTCGTCAATTTTTTTTATGCACGTAAAACTACCGACTGATGGACAAAAATGAAGCRTCAGACTTTTATATAGAGCAAACGTAGAAAAAACACTATTTGTCAGTTATCTCAAAGAAACAGAACTCAATCAAKATGAATTCACGTGATATTATTTTGAATGTTATTTTATCGATTAATAGTTTATTCCGTGAATTATGTTGTTTATTATTCGTGAAWAAAGAGTTGTCGCAAATCGTGGCACGTTTTTCTTGAGAAAAAAAAAAACCTATGACTTAACGAGACAAGATGGACGCGAGTCGTTGGGGCTCCTAAAATATAACTTGAAACTCCCCATCTAAACAGGATTAAACAGGAAAAATGTCAAAAAAAGTAACTAATGATACTAATGATTTGTTGGAGGCTCTAAGAAAGTTATGGAGGGATGAATTTCTACCAACAATTCGGAATGAGCTGAAGACTGAGTTAAAGAACGAGCTAGCTGTAATCAACAATGCAATACAACTCTTGGATAAGCGCTGTCAAGAAATCGAAGATTCACAATCCCTTATAAATGAGAAATTTGAGCAACAAAGAAATGTCCTCCAAGACAATAAGAAAGAAATCACTAAAATTCAGAGCGATGCTTATCAAGCTCAAGGAGAACTTAGACGCTTGGAGAACCGAGTTGCAGAGAGTGAATGTACTGTTGACGATGTTCAACAGTATTTACGACGAGACTGCATGAGATTACAGGGATTCCTGCGTCGGATGATGAGAATCTTACCACTATAACTTGCGAATTGGCAGGTATCATAGGTGTCAATATGAAAGAAGACGATATCTCTACTATACATCGACTCCCCGACTCGAAGAAAGTGAAAAATAGGATAATTGCCAAATTTACTCGAAGAAGTGTACGCGATGAAATCTACCGTATTAGGAAGAAACTTGCTGGAAAGACTACACATCACCTACCATCCTGCAAAGCAACGCCTTCTGGTTCCAAAATATTCATTAACGAGTCACTAACATCGTACAGGAAGCGTCTCTACGGCCGAATCTTGCAGTTTAAGAAGACCCATAACTACAAGTTTATATGGACTCAAAATGGAAAAATCTACCTGAAGTATGATGAAAACAGCCCAACAAGTACATTCACTACCGAAGACGCATTTGATACGTTTGAAGATGGTCTAGCTTGTAATTTCAACTTCTTTAGACCACAAATTAAAACAAGTTATGAGCTACATTTAAATTCTCATTGTCCAAAACCTGGGAAACCATTCCCACTCACCTCAAGCAGCTATCTTACTCAAACTTTAGCAAGAAGTTTAAACAACATTTACTAAGCTATCAAAAATAGTCTCCTCCTCCTTATATATTGATATGGACTAGTTGACTATTTCAAAATTGGTTAATCAGTCCATAAATGAAATTGCAAAAATTGTAATATTTGTAAATATTTTTTTAAGCAAAACCCTCTTTATTTTCTTTAGTATATTTATATTTATATTCCTGAAGAAATTTATAATATATATCATGTGATTATTTTTGTTAAATCTAATGTTTGTATTTTATTTAATAAGAGCCCTAAGCTCGCTTTCAATAGGCAGTGGCTAACTCGAAAGCTAAGCTCCTTTAGCCACTGCACACTTTCTCCAATAACAAACATGTAATTCCCCATAATTATCTTTAATAGATTAATAATATTCATTGTAAAATAAGTATATATGTGTGTAAAATAAAAATTGAATTGAATTGAATTTTCTTGAGAAGTCTTCAACTTCAATTAGTATTTTATTAGTTTTATTAGTTATTTTTTCCCCCAGACTCTTGGCGCTTTAGGTGAATATGATGTATGATAACTATTTGAATAATCCAGTTTCGAATTCTCCAATGCTCTGTGTTAGCCTCATTTGTGCGCAAAATATTCCTAATTGTGAGAATAAAAGTGTGAGATTACAAATGAATTCCATTGTTGTTGTTCTTTCAAAATCCATGCGTTTTCTCGGGCTGTCAGTGAAACAAAAGAATATGTTGCTTGGTTTTGAGGCTAACACAGAGCAAACCAGAACTCGAAATCGGAGTATTGACGAAATAACTTTTAGAAAATATTATCTTAAAGCATGGAARGTCCGGCGTTAGGTAAGGCAAACTCTAGAGTAAATAATGAAATAAAATCGATAATTCTACCTATTATGCAATAGACAATAAACTATGAATCAAAATAAAATAACAATTAAAAATGTTCTCATGTGGATTCGTCTTGATTACGTTCTGTTCATTGATAACTGACAAATTGTCTCTAAATACCCGCAATTTGTTAGTATTTTGTTTGTTTTTTTTCATGTTTTCTCTGCGAATTTGCTCTATAACACCTTTTTTACCATATAATATATAAACAAAAACATAAACGATGCAAGTCGTGTTCTCATGTTGTTGTACTCAATTTATGTGTTTTTATGAGCACTTGGTGAGAGCTTGGTCACCTACCGAATCATTCAGACTCGGTGGGGGCGGGAGGACCAATAGACGTCCTACTTATTCATTTTCTTGGCCATTACCAAAAATTATAATCACAGTACAACGAACGCTTGATTTCCT